TATATATTTTTTTAATATTATTTTTGTTATATTTTTCATTAGTTTTACCGAAAAAAAAATTGATTTAATTGTATTTAAAATAACATTTCCAAAGAAATAAATCCTTCGAATCTGCCTGTTCAGTCTCTGTTGAATGTGAAGGGTTACATGAAAGAAGCTCGTCTGGCCCTCTCTGCGATTCACAGAGAGCCCGCTATAGTAACTGAACGAGAGAGTAATGTCAAATGACAGTACAATTGACCAATCATATCTTCCCTCTAAATGGGTGGGTTTTATTATCGCGGACTTTATGACTCCGCCCGCTGTGAAACTTTTCTTGTTTCCATAGCAACAACAACTTCCTGTCAACAGCGTGAACTCGCCTTTAAAATAAAAGCATGCCAAATTACACTTAAGACATACAACTGCAACGAAAGTAACAAACACAATGCAATATCATTTTCAATGTCAAAGAACACAAATTGGGTTCACAGGTGTGGGTCAGAGGGCCTAGGTATAAAGCTCACGGCTCCCCACTGGGGTTAGCCCTACCATAGATTACCCAACAAAAATACTCTGGAGCGCATGTGCAGATCTAAGATCCAGTAGAAATGATAAAAAAGTAAAACAAGTTTGCTGCTTATTGTTCTACTAGGCCAAAATAGAGTCAAAGAGTATATGAGAGTGAGAGTGTGTTAATTAATATATTTGGCAGTTTGGAGTAAGTCTGTAGATTTGTTTGTGTGTGTGTGTTTCATGTATAGGCCTCTCACGATAATTAATTTTGTTGGATACATTTTCCCGGAAATTATTGCGATAAACGATAATATTGTCGGCACCGTTGTATGACCATTTTAGACCACTGACATAATGATAATATATAATAATAATTCAAGTACATCCTTTCAAACTGCTAGTCCCATCCTCATGTAAATAGCAATTTATCGAGGTCAGAAAACTTATCGAGTTCATTTTTATTTATCGTACGATAAGTCAATTAATTGCTTATCGCGACAGGCACACAATAAAACAGTGGAAACAAACATGTTTGACTTTCATTAGTGAATGAAACTGTGTGCCCTTTATAGTCTGTGTCCATTATTGTGTATTTGTATATATTGTATATATATATCCTATATATATGCTAAGGTCCCGCTGCTGACACGATAGCAGTCATTTCGTGCGCATATGTGTAATTAAACCGAATTAAACCCATGATATCAAAATCTCACTCCAGCCAGGTACCCAAAGTTGGCAACCCTGGTATATATACCGGCCGTCCTCTTTTTAGGGCATTTGCTCCACAACTGTTTCAATCGAAGGCTGTCTGCCCGAGTTCCTATGCCCTTTTCCAGCTACTCTCCTATATTTCATGGTCATTCCCCCGCTGAATCCTTCCTAGCTGAATTATTTTGACCGCATTATCAGGGACATCTGGAATCCGACCGTGTGTCTGTCATGATCATGTTTTTTGTGTTTCACGTATTTCTTGTTTACTTTTAAAAAGTGTTCCTGCGACTTTGGCTGCGGTCGTCTTTCAACCAGGATGTTGTGGGTTAGAGCCCAGCCCGTACAGTCATCATGTCGACGATTCCTCTGGTGAGATACTGAACCCTGAGTTGCTCCTGATTGCCAATGGTGTGTGTGTGTGCGTGCGTGCGTGCGTGCGTGCGTGTGTATGTGTGGGTGCAACACACTCTCACTCCCTAAGCGTCCAGGAGCGACGCTCGGTCAGGGTCCCGTGGCGTCCAGTTGTGACGCGCCGAGGCTCCTTCAGCTTCATAAACGGACGCAAAGAGCTTTCAACTGATTGCAATGTATTCCCATCGGCGTCGGTATTTGACGCTTAGGGAAGCACGGCATTCGTTTGTGTCGGAGGCTGTTAAAGGCAATGTGAGCGTCCATTCCCATTGGATAACGGAGAATTGTACACCCGGAAGTAAGTATTCCCCTTACTGTCGATTGATTTGACAGTGATATCTCCACTACTCATCAACTCAAAAACACCAGATTACTGTATCCTTGTTAATTAAACGACATTGATAGGTTTTAGTGTGTGTACAATGCTTTTGTCACGTTTTCCCCTTAAATTCTGAGAAACAAGTCGTTTTCTATGAGTTTTGGATAGCCGAAGACATTACATTACCCACAATCCTCTGTAGCAACCATAGACTGTATAAAAAAATTAAATAATACATTATTCCGAGTGTGCTTGCTTTTCTCTTTGAAAGTCATCACATAACGGCATTGTAATACACGTTTCGGCTGCATTAAATATGACATATCTGCCGTAGTTAACTCTATTTATAGAGCCCTGATGACAAGACTTCTAGACAAACAGGAACTGCCGCCAAAACTGAAAACTTGACATGGATCTTAAATATAATAATATACATATAAATAAATACAATAAATATATAAGCAATTAAACAACATCTTACATTTCTTTTCACACAATACGTCTCCTTGCAGTATCAACACTAATTCGGCTGACTTTTATATTTGATCCAATTGGTAGATAGGCTGTATTTACGCCATAACGGTGCACAGCTGATAGAAAGGGACACCTACTGGTTAAAGCACGTTATTGCATTTTATAATTTTATTATTAGATATTAATAGGAGGATGTGCAAAACAGACAAACTAATAAGGCTTTATTTAAACATTAAAGAATACTTTAGGTTAAGGTCTTCTTTTGAATAAGAAAAAAGCTTTGGGGGTATAGAAGATGAATATGGAGGGATGAAACCCTCTTTGATGGTCACACATGCAGAGCACACAGCACACACAGTGAAATTTGTATCTACAGATAAATATTAAGCCTGACAAAGTACTTAACATCTAATATATTGCTTTCCTGCAATGTTAACTATGTTTAAGCACTTATTTTAACTGATATTATACATATGTATTATACTCTTATAAGATGTATGTAGATAGTATAAGAAATGTGCAGAATATGACAATGTAATGGTGGAGCTACACACATATTGATAGATGTCTTGTAATGCACTGTTGAGGAACCTGCGACCCAAGTTTTTCATTCATTGCATAACTACACCGTAGTTGTGTATAATATGATATGTCAATAAACCTTAGAAAATCTTGAAATCTTGAAAGGGATGTGCAAAATAGTCATTATATACAGTCTTTAATTAACTATTAGTGGAGAATAATGACGAGTAAAGAATATACTTTATAGGGATCCTATTAATATCTAATAATAAAATTATAAAATGCAATAACGTGCTTTAACCAGTAGGTGTCCCTTTCTATCAGCTGTGCACCGTTATGGCGTAAATACAGCTTATCTACCAATTGGATCAAATATAAAAGTCAGCCGAATTAGTGTTGATACTGCAAGGAGACGTATTGTGTGAAAAGAAATGTAAGATGTTGTTTAATTGCTTATATATTTAAGATCCATGTCAAGTTTTCAGTTTTGGCGGCAGTTCCTGTTTGTCTAGAAGTCTTGTCATCATGGCTCTATACATAGAGTTAACTACGGCAGATATGTCATATTTAATGCAGCCGAAACGTGTATTACAATGCCGTTATGTGATGACTTTCAAAGAGAAAAGCAAGCACACTCGGAATAATGTATTATTTAATTGTTTTATACAGTCTATGGTTGCTACAGAGGATTGTGGGTAATGTCATGTCTTCGGCCATCCAAAACTCATAGAAAACGACTTGTTTCTCAGAATTGAAGGGGAAAACGTGACAAAAGCATTGTCCACACACTAAAACCTATCAATGTCGTTTAATTAACAAGGATACAGTAATCTGGTGTTTTTGTGTTGATGAGTAGTGGCGATATCACTGTCAAATCAATCAACAGTAAGGGGAATACTTACTTCCCGGTGTACAATTCTCCGTTATCCAATGGGAATGGACGGTCACATTGCCTTTAACAGCCTCCGACACAAACGAATGCCGTGCTTCCCTAAGCGTCAAATACCGACGCCGATGGGAATACATTGCAATCAGTTGAAAGCTCTTTGCGTCCATTTAGGAAGCTGAAGGAGCCTCGGCGCGTCACAACTGGACGCCACGGGACCCTGACCGAGCGTCGCTCCTGGACGCTTAGGGAGTGAGAGTGTTTTGGTGTGTGTGTGTGTGTGTGTGTGTGTGTGTGCGTGTGCGTGTGCGTGTGCGTGTGCGTGTGCGAGTGCGAGTGCGTGTGCGTGTGCGTGTGCGTGTGCGTGTGTGTGTGTGGTGCTGCTCTGCATGAATGAGGTGTGAATTGGGTGTGAATGGGTGAATGACTCGCAGTGTGTAAAGATATTTGAGGGGTCCAGAAGACCTGATAAAGAGATTTATAAGTACAGTCCATTTACCTCCGTGTGTGATGTCTGTTTTTACTTCCTGTCTTTGTGTTTTCCCGCCTGTTTGTCTGATAGATGTCTTCCCTTGTGTTCGCTTTCTATGCATCGTCTATGATCCCCTCTGGTTTCTGATGTGTGGTTTTATTTTTTGCTTGTGTGATTCCCTATGTTCCTGCCAATGCTCCTGCACAAGTTGGGTATCCTTCTGATTTAATGTGTTGTGATGTGATTTGAGATTATATTGTTTGGTTTGATGTAAATGTGTTAATGTACAAAGAGAGGGGATATCAGATGTTAGAGGGTCTGACAGGCACTCCTTGTGGTTTATTTTTACAACCATAAAAGGTTCTATTTGGAACCTCAAAGGTATTTTGTGGAACTGCAAAGAACAAACATTTATTAAGAAAGCAATAAATCGTTTCTTTCTGTTTTTCAGTCTGTTCGTCTCAACCTTCTACAAACTGCCACAACACATACTCAGGCGATGCATACTACCACAATGATAAGGTTGTCCGGATTGTGATGATTGGGAAAACTGGAGCTGGGAAGAGTGCCACAGGAAACACCATTTTGGGAAAACAGTACTTTAAATCAGAGTTTTCTTTTGAATCTCTGACTAAAGACTGTGCTAAGGCCTTTGGGGAAGTGGATGGACAAAAGGTTGCTGTTATTGACACTCCTGGTCTGTTTGACACCAGCACTGATGAAAACAAGACCAGAAACGATGTTGGCCAGAGCATTGCTTATGCTGCTCCTGGACCCCATGTCTTCCTGGTCGTCATGAGACTGGGCAGATTCACCGATGAAGAAAAGTAGTCAGTGCAGAAAATTCAGGAAATCTTTGGAGAGGAAGCAGACAGATACAGCATGGTTCTCTTTACCCACGGTGATCTGCTCAAAGGGAAACCTATCGAAGAGTTCTTGAAAAACAGCAAAAAGCTGCAGGAACTTGTGGACAGATGTAAAGGGCAGTACCACGTCTTCAATAATAATCTGAAGGATCGTTCTCAGGTCAGAGAGCTGATCGACAAGATCAGAAATATCACAGAGAAGAACGGAGGAAGCCATTACACCAATGAAATGTTCCAGAAGGTAGAGAGGGCCCTAGAAGAGGCAAAACAGAGAATCCTTAAAGAGAGAGAAGAGGAAATGCGCAAAGAGCAGGAGGAAATGGAGAAGAAAATATCGGAAAAGTATGAGCAATCCATGAAGGAAATGAAAGATGACAGAGAGAGGTCAAAAAAGCTACTTGAAACTCTTGAAAGAGAAATGGAGGAGGAAAGGAGGAGATTTAGAAAAGAGCAGGAAAGGAGGGCCAGACAGGAAGCTGAAAACAGCCCTTTAATAATGAGGTTTATGAATGGCGTAATTAAAGCATTTAAATCCTTTACAGGTTGGCGTGAGAATTAGCAAACCTTTTTAATTAATCTTCACCGTCCCCCTTTTTGAATTTCGTTGTGTGGTGTGATTTATAGTTTTCTCAGTTATATCAGGGGTGAGTTGCGACCAAATACTAAACAGTGTCACAGAATGTCAAGAACAAAGATGTTAATATGGTAAAGTGGTGTTATTAATCTGATATCAACTGAACAATGTTTTTCAGATGTTGTGTTTTCATTGTTTGATTGCTTTTGCTTTTACTATAGGAAAAAGAAGAAAGAAGGTTTTGTACTTTAACTTCCTCCTCCCCGTAGGTTATGCAGACCTCTCTGAAATGTAGTAAGTAAAGCCATAAGACATGGGGAAAGCTGGATAGTGAAAGTTGTGTGTCTGCGTTCAACGGCTTAAGGGTTGCTTTTAGATGCACAAAGCGTGGCACATGCATGCACTTAGTTAACTGATATGGTTATATTTTGTCAGTTAGGCAAGGTGGCTTGATAACTCCCTCTACACAACTTTAACAAAGCTCTTGCTCTGCATTTCACCTATAGATGTACACTATTTAACAGGTATAAACAGGTATTTTTAACTTAATTTCAGTACCTTTTTAATTCCATAACGATGGCAGCCATATTAGACACTCGCCATGAAACAAGAAGTTGTTGTAACTTCATTGTACAGTCTCCAAACTACCAATGTTGCGTGCTTGATAAGTCATAGCACCACCTAAAGGCAACAGGGAGTCAGCCCCATGTGACAAACATTATGAAAATAACAATGTGTGGTCTACAATTGATGTTTGGTAACATTCTGTTTGTTAATAGTGTTTCTCTAGCACCACATAGTGGACATATAAAGTGGTGCAAGGTGTGCAATGTATATGTAATTTCCAGCAAATCACACTCCATGCAACATGTGTGATATTAATACTCTGTTGTTTACCATAGAACATAAATATGGCATCTTTCTGGAATTTAGTTTTTTGTGGTTTAATGGGTCATTTATCTCAATAATGTAAGAAACGTGTGGAGTGCATGCATGTTTTTCAGGTAATCACTGAAAAGACTGCACCACAAACAATGATTATTATGTAGAGATTGTGAATAATGTGTTGCTGAGTGATCATGAAATAAAGGGGAGGCTGTTGCTCAGTGGGTTAGTGCGCTGAACTTAGCGCGCTGAACTTTGAATCCGGGGATAGCAAGTTCGAGTCCCACTGCAGTCAGCATGTCGTTGTGTCCCTGGGCAAGACACTTCACCCCAAATTGCTCCTGTGGAGATTGTCCACAGTACTGAATGTATGTAAGTCGCTTTGGATAAAAGCGTCTAACAAGTGACATGTAATGTAATGTAAAGCTGATAATAAATGAGTAATGCTTTACTGACATCATTCGAGGTATATGTGTAAAAATACAATTAATCCTAAAGAAAAGGTGTACAATTCCACACAGTGGGATGAAGAAAGGTTTTCTGATTTCTGATCAGAAGTTGTAAACACTGCATCCTTAAGTTGTGTCACTTATATACAAATCAGTGGGACAACGTATTCATCCCACAGAGGGGAAATTGCATTTGTTACAGCAAGAAAAGAGCCAAAGACAGTTTAATATAAACCAAAATCAACACATCTGGAGATACATGATTTTCACTGGACAGGAAGGGGAGGAAAAACTTGAAATCTGAAAAGTATCTCAAGCTCAATAAGTATATTTACCTCTAAGATGTAGTGGAACAGAAGGGTAGGCACGTACAGTACTTTTTGATGGGTTACATTGTTAACCCTTGGTTATTCAGCATGATGACTACAGACAAAAAAGACTATCCGAGGCGCTTTGTCAATATATATCAATCGAGTATCCACAGAATACACAATATGAAATGTAAATACTGAATTCAAACTCTCTACAATCGACCAATGTACTACCAAAACAAAAAAACACGCACATAGGTTACTTTATAAAAAGTGTGCAAATGTATTTATTTTCCTATCCATGTGAAACATTTTTAAGTGAGGGGGGGATCTCACATCATGAAATATTTAAGATTTTGAAGTTAAATGCATCAAACTGGTCCACATTGATGGCAAAATTGAGATCTATGAATACATCTCTCAGCATAGATGGTTCTGGTCCACACTCCAATACAGTAGGTGGCGGTAAGGCAAGAAGAGGAGAAGTTCACCCGGAAGTGAGCCTCACGTGTTTCCTTCATTTCTCCATGTGTGTGAGTCATGGATGTATAGAAGTTTGTTTGGGCTCCTGATTATAACTAAAGGCAACTTATACCTTTTTTAGGCCCAAAATGGGGTAATTTGTAGAAATATGAAAGATAGAAACTAAACATGTTGTAAGGACTATTTGTAAAAAAAAAATTCTTATTAAAATAAATGTACAGCTAGAGGCCACTGCTGCACCATTTCAGTTCAGGTTGTACGCAATTAAGAAGTCAAACATCCAGGCAAGATTACCATTTAGTTTGATTTTAATTTCCAGTATTTTTGTTCATCATGGTGCCTCTCTCTTGCTCTGGTAAAAAAAAAGACAAAGTCCCTTCAAGGTGCATCACTTGACATTGACAGACCCTCTACCTTTATCACCAAACCTGCCATTCACATAATAAACCCTTTCTATGGTGCCAATAACGTCTACAGGAATAAAAGAAAAATATAAATTGAATGACATATCTCCTAGACATGTTCTAGATTATTTAAACCTAATTGAGCCCATCCCCCTCACTGTCAACATTGTTCATGTGGTAGTTGAACCATTTTATAAATAGCGAGATTGCAAAATATTTCTTCATTTTTTTCAGACCTCCCATCAGAATCAAACACATACAATAACGCTGAGCTCCGGATTGTGTTGGTGGGGAAGACCGGAGCTGGGGAGAGCGCCACAGGAAACACCATTCTGGGAAAAGGGTCCTTTATATCAAAGTTCTCTCCTAAATCTCTGACTGTAAACTGTGCTAATGACATTGGTGAAGTTGATGGACAAAGAGTTAAGGTTATCGACACTCCTGGTCTTTTTGACACCAAATTTTATGAAAAGAAGACCAGAAAAGATGTTGCACAGAGCGTTGCTTTTGCTTCTCCTGGACCCCATATATTCCTGGTCGTCATCAGATTGGGCAGATTCACAAATGGAGAAAAGCAGACAGTGCAGAAAATTCAGGAAATCTTTGGAGAAGATGCAGACAGACACAGCATGGTTCTCTTTAACCACGGTGACCAGCTCGAAGAACAAACTATTGAAGAGTTCTTGAAGGAAAGTGAAGAGCTGCAGGAACTTGTGGACAGATGTAACGGCCAGTGCCACGTCTTCAATAATGAGGTGAAGGATCGTTCTCAGGTCAGAGAGCTGCTCGACAAGATCAGAAACATAACAGAGAAGAACGGAGGAGACCATTACACCACTGAAATGTTCCAGGAGTCAGAGAGGGAGCTAGAAGAGGAAAAACAGAGAATCCTTAAAGAGAGAGAAGAGGAAATACGCAAACAGGGAGAGGAATTTCAAAAGAGTTTAGATAAAAAAATCAAAGAGGATAGGGAGAGGTCAGCAAGGCAGATAGAAGCTCATGAAAGAAAAATGGAGGAGGAGAGGAGAAGAGGAAGAAATCCTAAAAGCAGCTAGCAAAATAGAAATGGAGGAGAAGAGGAGGAGAATAAGAGAAGAGGAGGAAAGGCTGAGAGAAGCTCGCAAAAGAGAAATGGAGTAGGAGAGGAGGAGAATAAGAGAAGAGGAGGAAAGGAAGGCCCGGAAGGATGCTGAGGACAGCGCTTCAATAATTGACGACATTTGTGCCGTTGTGAAAAAAGGTTGGAGATCTGTGAAGTCTTGGTTTTCATGATACAGTCTGACTGTCACGAACTTGGAAACACAAGGTATTGGACTAAAATGCACGACCCAGGAGACAGAGGTAAAGTATGAGTAAGATACTTTATTCCAAAAACAGGATAATAAATAAGGATCGACACTCTGGATGAGGTGACAAAAAAGGTTCAAAAAGGCACAGAAGAAAATCGCTCACTAAGTGAGGAACAAACTTACAAAATAATTCGAGAGCATAAATCAGGCATGAGACAAGGTGAGTAATCGCAGGCACGCTGACTACTTGCATAGAGACAGGACAAGACGAACTGACAAGGAACAAAGGGAAGCTGGGGACTATAAACAAAAGGTAACTGGACACAGGTGGAAACAAACAGAGGCGGGTCTGACGCTGATGAGGACGGGAGACACACACCAGGATAGGAAGTGGGAGACAAGACAGAAAATGGTTAAACAAAAACATGAAACATGGACTTAACATTTTTGACGGGACACAACACTGACCCTCTGGAATACCTCCTTGTTAATCTTCACAGTCCTTCACTTGTTTTTTGATGTGATTTATAGTAATATCAGTTATTTCTGTGGTGAGTTTTACTTTTTAGAGAATAGCATTTATCTAAAGGTGAAACATCTTTTCAACTTATTTCAGAAACATGTCAGAACCAAAATGCATTAACAAAACTTTATGTAATTAAACTCAAGAATTGTCAATTAAGTGTTGTAACTCATTTAGTGGCTTGCTCATGGGCACTTGTGCAGGAAGTGAACCGGCGACCCTTTTGTCCCAATGTCAAGGCACTACAGACTGATCCACTGCTGCCCATTTAAGAAATTACATTTCTCAAATATTCAAAGATGATTTTGTAGTACTGGTTTCACAAATCCAAGCTAAAAACAAAGGGTGACAGAGCTTTACTGCGTCAGAGCTCGAGCCCGAGGATCTGAGGCAGTGACTCACCTTTTTATTAAAGCTTTTAACTAATGATGACACCACTCTGTTTTACTCGACATCCATGTTCTATTTTTTTTTACTTTTTTAATTGTATATGTACGTTTCTTTCTTCATTTAAAGGGGACCTATCATGCAAAATGCACTTTTGTATGTCTTTTATACATAAATATGTGTCCCCGGTGTGTCGGGGAACCCAAATATTTTATTCGGGGTACAACGAGCGGATACAGATTTGCTGCCGATATGTCTAAAGTCAAATATGAATCCTGATTGGGCCAAATTTGACCCCGAGTCACCCAAAACAATTCTGCTGAGTCTTCCCAGACCCGAACACCAGATTATACACTTTTTTTTTTAGACCTTCAGACTTTGCTAAAATTGTTTAAATCAGTTTTGTAGTGTTTATATAGCTGTTGTGGAGGATACTGTTATATCAATCTTGGACCTAGTCATAGTAACTAGGTATGTTATTAAGTTACAGTTTCCATAGAATCGTCTCTTTGCTAATTATTACGTTAAGTGAGCTGACGCCAAGCTCAGAGGAAATGCATAGAGGCTACACTGTAAAAAAGATTTTTTTTTTTTCAGTTTTTCCCCAAAAAAATTAACAGTTTTTTATTGTATTTCATAATTACAGGAAATCAAATAAAAATTACAAGAATAAACGGTTTATTTAAATGTGTGATGTATTTTAACAAAAAAAAACTGTTAAAATGGAATACATTATTTATCTGTTTTTTAGCCGTTTTTAAATGCGAATATAACAAAACTAACCGTAAAAATAAATGATTTTCTGTTGGCAAAATTAGCTGCATTTTCTGTAATTTTACTAAAAAATACTTTTGTTATGGATCTATATCACTGTCAAATACTGTTAATACTCATTAAAAAAATGTATAATTGCAAGAAAATATATGAGTAAAGAAAGAAATGTTTTTTTTGCTTAATTTAACCACTACTTTATAAACTGAAAAAACACAGGTATTGACTACATACCTACATTTGAACACATTTTGACTTGTATTACTTTGAGGATTGAATTGTTAAATATGTGAATTTCAGGTTATAAAAACTGTAAAACCATAGAGTTAAATACAACAACAACTAAAGTTGACTGTTAAGCACCAAGCCTGTTTTTCATGTTTCAGGCTCGAAAATGACATGCCCAAAACAAATGACTACAACTTAACTTAAAAGGGTGATATGAATAATTTCTTTTATCAAAGCAAGGTTACATCTGTGAGTTGGATGTAGAAGTGTCAGAATCAATATAGATGTTTTTTATTTTAAAGAAAATTCAGATTTTACATAGTAAAAAAAGTAAAAATTATAGTGTCCGTCCAAACATTCTTTTTTACTTATAGTGAAAACTACCCTTGGATGATGGGTTAGTAGACTAAAAGCTTTAGGAATCCAAAGTACAACATATAATAAGTACCCTGTATCAAGATTGATGCAAAACAAGTGACATTTGACCTTTTTAGAGAGGTTTAGCCAAAACCACTCCACCTCTGAGGTGATTTGGGTGAAAATGGTTTGTTTTCCATATCTCTGGCCCCCCTTGGTCGATTTGGATGGTTGACACCTCTTTCTGACCGTTAGAGCCAATATAATCGAAGGGGGAGTCCCCCACACACACACGTTGTGAAGAGAAGAGGTGGGGGCTTCGCCCATGTAATTTTGCGTCAGAGTGGACCTATCTCTAGCTCTGACATTTGGAAACGAAAAAGCAGTTTTATTGCTTATGGATTATCAGAAATCATTTCAAAGAGGACACAGACACATTGGATTAACCTATGGATTAACTGCAGCATCGTTTTTTTATCGTTTTAATGCCATTGAAGACCAGTTTTGACCAAGGTAAGCCATGTCAGCGTTTCTAGCTACCTAGCTCCACATGTTCTGATGTACGCTTTCGTTTATAGCGTCGCAAATGTTTATCACTGAGTGTTGAGGTTTTTTACACAGATTCTGTGTCTCCAGGAGATGCTAATCGAGGGGTTGGCTGTGCATCTAGGATAAGTAATAAGTGAGTTATGAGTGAGTTTAGGTGCAGTTTTAGGTTACATTTTTTCGCTCGTGGCTAATTCAGAGGCTGAGTGTTAGCATTCTGGGTTTTTTTTGGAAAAAAAAATTAAAAAGATCAGTTAGCTGAGTTTCTTCCCGTTACATGGATATAAAACATTCATAGTTTATTAAATATTAAGATTCCTTAGACGTTGTTTCCTCCAAATGACGCGTTTATCCGCCCGGTACCGGGGGGGCGGCGTAACAGGTTAACATGTTGGGTGTGAATTCCTACCAGAGCACAATACAGATATAAAATGATGCTATAACCCACAAGTAACAGGCATAGAATGTGTGACTTTAACTCAATATTTAAAACAGAGTGATTGGCGCACAGTATGCAAAAAACATATTGAGTTTCACTGTAAGTGAAAAATTAAAGGATCTAGAAGTTAAATAACATTAACATTTTCCCTAGGCCTTATCACACTAGCATGTACAATTTAGCCCATAACATTGAACATGCTAGCAAGCACTAACAGCCAGACTCTGAATATCAAAACCTTGTTAGCAGTTAGTGCTACCACTATGCTAAATTGGTATTAGCATTGCAATTACAGTAAAACAAACAACCTATGTTGTCCTTTTAGACGTCTAATAATATCCAACTATTCAAATCCATCATATTGAAAGAATAGGCCTTCACGCATGTTGACAAGGCTTGTAACTACAGTGAAAGACCTTTACAATCCAAGTAAATTAACTTAAATATGTATTGTGATAATGTCCCACACAGCTAGTTGGTTACAACAATCTATAGTGATGTCACAGGGATTTCAGGCAGCAGGTAGTTGAAGGTTAAGTATCTAAATTCACTTGTTAACCTGTTAAGCCCGAGAGACCCCGGTACCGGGGCACTCCCGCAACATCTTGCAGGAAACAGTGTCTGAGGGCATGTTCATTTAATAAACTATGAATGTTTTATATCCATGTAACGGGAAGAAACTCATCTAACTGATTTCTTTTTTTTTTTTTTCAAAATAAAACCCACAATGCTAACGCTGAGCCTCTGAATTAGCAACGAGCGAAAAATGCTAAGAGATTACTGCACCGAAATTCACTCACAAAACCTTATTATTTATCTTTTCTGCACATCCATGACATCGTTTCACATCGTGAGGTGACACAGAATCGATGGGTGCATACATTATCACTCCATGATACGAACTCGCGACTTTATAAACAAAATCAGACATCAAAACATGTGGCGCTAGGTAGCTAAAAACGCTAACATGGCTTACCTGTCTCGTAGTCCTGGTCAAAAGTGGTCTTCAATGGCATTAAAACGATAAAAACGCTGCTGAAGTTAATCCATAGGTTAATCCAATGTGTCTGTGTCCCTTTGAAATGATTTCTGATAATCCATGAGCAATAAACCTGCTTTTCCGTTTCCAGATGTCAGAGCTAAAGTATAGGTTCGCTCTGATGCAAAACTGCATGCGCGAAGCCCCCACCTTTTTTTTACCATGTGTGTGAGAGGGGAGATTCCCCTTCGATTCTATTGGCTCTAACGTCAGAAAGAGATGTCAATCACCAAAATCGACCAATGGGTTCCAGAGAAACAGTAAAACCCCCATTTCCACCCAAATCACCTCAGAGGTGAAGTTTTTTTGGCTAAACCTCTCTAAAAAGGTCAAATGTCACTTGTTTTGCATCAATCTTGATACAGGGTACTTATTATATGTTGTACTTTGGATTCCTAAAGCTTTTTGTCTGCCTTACCATCATCCAAGGGTAGTTTTCACTATAAGTAAAAAAGATCTTTTGGACGGACACTATA